TTGGAGCACATCCAAAATAAACGTTGTGCGCCTGGATTGCAAAATATGTTCTCACACGTTTTATAAGCATGATGTGATGCCAAAATACTTGTGTGCTGCTGTCAGAGTGTGCTTGTGTGTAAGAAAGCAAGAAATGCCAGATGTTTGTGCATGTCGCTCACCTGGCCCTCCAGCATGTCTCCTCTCTGGATGCCTGCTGGCCTCTCCTCGGTGCTGTTGGTGCGCCGGATGGACAAACTGTGAGCCTTGCGCTTCTGCTTTGGGTGACGGGCAGCCGAAGCAGAGCCGCTGCTGCTCCCGCCCTCCACAGGCATCCCTCCTACCGTACGGTGGCCCTGCCCCCCCGCTCACCTTAGAGGCAGGTAAACAAAGGCTCTCTAGTTGGCTCGTGTGTAGGTTAGTATGTTATCACCACTTGTCTGAAATTAAAAAAGAAAGTGAAGTTCAGGCTCACAGTCACTGCAGGAACAGTTCAAGGTGAAAGGACGCCTTCCCTGCATTAATACACAGTAATTCAACTAGATATTTTAGATTAAGGGTGCTTAGTAGTTACAGTCTTGCCCTGGTACCTGCTGCTCTAAAACAACATTTAATGCGGTCACATGTCAAGAAAGCCGGCTTTGCTTATAAATATAACGTGCACTTTTTAGAACCTGAACTTAGAAATTCTACATTTGAAAAAGTACTTGTCTTTTAATTAAACCTCTTTTCAAAGGTAATTCATCTAACTGACTACTGCCTACTGTTGTTGCACATTTGACAGTATCTTAAAGGTCGTTGCATGCTCACACATGTTAGGACTGTGCATGTTAGGACTGTGCATGTTGGTGCTCTTGTTATCATGGCATAGCGCCACATTTAACATTATAGTAAATGGGACAATGGACAACATATTTTAGCATATCATTATGCAAGACTGAAACCGTGTATTTAACGCTGAGTAATTACTGCCCATGGAAAATTAACGTGGACAATTGTCGTAACGCTTGCAATACAAATATGTAACGCAGCTTTCATGACATGTGACCGTACACTTTAGGCGTGTGACCTTTCACCGATATGATTCTGAAATATTACGAAACAAGGAAGAAACTCACCGCTGTCACTGATTCACAGCCAGAAAGGCGGTCTACAAACTAAATGAGCTAAAAGCTAGCGCATGCTAGCTTTCACATATGATGCTAATTGCGGCAACTAACTACCGTCTATGAAAAAAACAGCAGCCTAACCTTCCTTACTCGATATGATTATATGGAAACCTATCGACGTGTCACGTTACATGTTTTTCGGCGAATTGACAGTGGACAATAACAACAATGACAATTTGAAAATCAGAATATTTATCCGAATGTTGACACATCACGTATTTTACTGGTACACCGATTTCCGTATCACATGGTTTGTGTTTGCACTGTGTAAGCCAATGGGCAGTGACGCCGATGCTAAAGCATCCAATCAAAACCAGTGACCTCAGAAGCAGGCAGTGAAAGCTAAGTGGCTCGACCACAGTATTTGGCTCTAAAATATCGTCGTCGACACATGCAAAGTACGACATTGAATTCACTTGAAACAGGGAAATTGTTTCGTAAGTAATTAAGCGTTTTATCGGTTTCTCAGTAGGTTGTGTATGTAGCAATCAATGCATACTTATGTTCAGATGTCAGAGGCCTGGATGGTGCGGGCTGTGCTGTGCAGTGGTATGATGGCGTGTGGACTGTGTTTGGAGGAAGACACGAAGTGGATTGCTTAGAACGGGACATTAAGATCATACTATAGTCCACTGAATGGGTTCTTGTTAATGCATTAGTGAGACTTACTACCATATTGCTTTGATATACACTTAGAGTGGCCATTTAAATGAACAAAGTACTTTTACTTTAGAACCATGTAAATACTTCCTCCATCACAGAAGATTCTCAATTGTTGCATAGATCCATAATGACAATAATTTGTTACAACCCCTACGCTGTATAGTAAAATACATATGGGTTTAATTAATCATAAGCATGTAGTTAATGTGTATAAAACATTTGAAAACTCAACCAAAGTTTACCCTCTGCCTGGCTGCCCTGACTTCAGTCCACAGGTATCATCAGCAACGTAACTTCCGGTCCTACCTGAGTAAAATCCTCTCCGGGTTTTACCTTCGTCCACCCGCTCAGACCTTGTGATTGGTTTTCTGTTTATGTCAGGCGATGGTGCGGGGAGTGTGGGCGGTGCTACGGATGGTGTCCACCAAAAGGAACCCTGTGCTTAAATCAAACGTACCTGGTGCTTCCAGAGTTGTTGCATCTCAGCAAAGACATATCTACACTTCCTGCGTCAGAGCTATTTCAAGGTAAGCTAGTGCTATTTAATTTAGGTTTATAGAAGGCATTGTTTACGTTTGTGAAGAGCAAAGCAAGAGATAAGCCTAATAAGCCTAAGCTAAGACATGCTACTTGTGCTATTGATAGCTGAGCTACACTAAAGCCTGTCTCAATAGTTCGGATAAATGTCATTGCCTCACATGAAATAAAGTCATGCCAAATTCTTATTTAACAAGCATTGTATTCATGGGTTTGCGTATTAAAGTACACACTTTTACAATAGCAACTCGACGCTTGGGTATATTCTCTTCAATATGGTATACATTACATCAAGGCAAGCTGCATTGAAAGCAATATTATTTTAACATGCACATTTTTAACGTAAAACTAAGGCTCACAAGATAAGATATATGGCAGCATGGCATGCTGTATCAAAATATAAGTTTAATAGTTAACGCCCACCTAAAGCAAAGCGCCTGAAATGGTACCATTGCTATTTTTTGTATACATATTTACATTCTTACTATTTTTGAGTATTTGACTAAATCAACAATATGAAAAGCTTCACTTGGACACTATGAAGTTGATAAGGGCATATTGCATTTTCTGTAAATGTAATGTTAATTGTTATGTATTGCTAACAATATTTTTGCAGAAACCACACCATTAAATATATTTTGCTTTGATTATGTTTTGATTTACTCCTTATTTTAGAATGAAAGTTCAGTCCTAAACTTGAAAAGCACTCGGGGTCCACTAACACGTTTTTTTTCCAGAGCTTTCAACTGCATCTTGTAGTTTTCTTCAGTCTTTCTATGAAAACTCCAGAAAAACTAGTGAACAGCAGTAGGATTTGTTGGTCAAGTACTACCTACTGTGTTACTGAAGGTTCAAGACTGTCATTTTGGAAAATATGCATTAAATGAATGTTTTCTGCACACTGCTCCTCTTCCTGTACAGTGAGGTAAAACCCCTACAGTCAGCTGTCAGAATGCCTGAGATAACCACAGACCACCTGGACGAGAAGCAGGTGAAGCTTCTGGCCGAGATGTGCATCCTCATCGACGAGAACGACCACAAAGTTGGAGCAGACACCAAGAAAAACTGCCACCTGAATGCTAACATTGACAAAGGTACCTGTCTGGACACACCTGTCTCGCCTCAAGTGCATAACTTGTTTCAAATGTGTACTTATAGTAAATTGTTTGTTTTTCTAGGTCTATTACACAGAGCTTTCAGCGTGTTCATTTTCAACAGTGAAGAGAAGCTGCTCTTACAACAGAGGTCTGATGCCAAAATCACTTTTCCAGGTCAGTGACAATTGTATACCCCAGTTTAACCATTTCCAAAAATACTCATGGGTGAATATAGCATGACAAGATGATTAAACACTGATGTTCAACCCTGTCCTGTGTCTGTACGTAGGCTGCTTCACAAACACATGCTGCAGTCACCCTTTACACACAGACAGTGAGCTGGAGGAGAAGGACGCAATTGGAGTGAGGAGAGCAGCTCAGAGGAGACTCGAGGCTGAACTGGGTATCCCCATGGAACAGGTAAACCGCATGTGTTGAAATCCTGACTCCTGAAATACTGGGAGAGGAATCTTTCCTTGCATCTGATCGCCTTTTACTTCCTGTTGCTCCTCAGGTGACACCAGATGAAATGACTTATCTGACAAGGATCCACTACAAAGCCCAGTCAGACGGTGTGTGGGGAGAACATGAGATTGACTACATCCTCTTCATGCAGAAGGTAGCACTGTTCGACTTAAGAGTTGTCTTAGAATTAGGATATCTGGCCCGTCTGTGTAAATTATAGATAACATCTCTTTTTTGTCCTTCTGAAGGATGTGGATTTGAGTCCAGACCCCAATGAGATCAAAACGCACTGCTATGTGAGCAAGGAGGAGCTTCAGGAGATGTTGGAGAAGGCAAAGCGCAAAGAAGTGGAGATCACACCCTGGTTCAGCCTCATCGCAGAGACCTTCCTCTTCAAGTGGTGGGATAACCTGCACAACCTCAAACAGTTCATGGATCACAACAAAATCCACCGCATGTAAATAAATCAGCATGGGGCCATAACTTCAGTCATTTCAAACCCTAAAGCTGTGTCACTGGCTATTTTTTGCCATGGTAGTAGCAGGTGAAATACTTTTACACTGAAAACGTAGAATGTTTGTCATGCTAAATACCCGAGGAAATGTTGGTTTGTAGCTCTGAGGTACAGTCATATACGCATGTGAACTGATGCAAGTAAAGTGACTCTTAGTCTTAAGGATTTTGAGAAAAATACATCATATAATCCATTCTGGGTAGCTACACTCTGGATTTACAGACTCAACAGAAAGACATTAAACACATCATGTTATTATGATGAATAATAAATCCTATCAATGTAGAGAAAAGGCTATTTTTTTTTTATACAAGAACTTAAGTGCCTGAGTCCAGGTTATTAGGTTGAGGGAATCTAAGTACTGATGGGATGTCTCGGCAACAACTCACTTCTGTATATTATTGTCAATAATGATTTCACTGAACAACCTTTGCACTCTTATACAATAAATTGTTTGTGTTCATTGGCAGAAGACGGTTGTGTTTTTGTAATAGGGGGCTGTGAAATGATGGCAAAAGAACACCTTGATATCACCCTGTAGAAATGCATTAAAGTGTTAAATAAAATTCAAGTTCAATTTGTATTGTATAACAGCTGCTTTATTTTGGGGGGGGGGGGTGCACTTTCTGCATGTAAACACTTAAGGCACATCATCTATTTCTAATAGAGCACTAAAGCTGATACATCGGATGCTTATTTATAGCTTTCATTGTACAACAATTAAATTGTAACAGACAGTTTTGTACTTGACATGCAAAGATTACATTAAGCAGTACTGTATCTAGTTTCCAGGTGGAAATGATTAATACTGAAAAAAGATAAAACCTAGAGTAAATCAAAGGTTGATGGCCATATCGTTGGAAAAATAGATCCTTACTTGTTAGTCCATGTCAAGGGAACGACCCAATGGTGTCTTTGCTAATCTAAATGTGGAAGTCAAAGTACAAACTGGCATAATGGTAAACTACAATAACTGAGTGATGACTGGCACAATACCTCATAACGAACTACTACTTTTGTAGCTATCACAATATTTCGGTTTCATACTTAAAGGTATAAATAGCTCTGGTTTACACAGGTCTATAACTACAGAGAGTTTGGCATTCATTAGGTAAAACCTCATAGTGCATAGGGAAGCATGTGCATCAGAGAACATTAAGGCAATATGTTCTCTATGTGCCAAAACAGCAGCGTCTACATATCTACTTGTCAATACTGTATGTACACGATTATACTAGTAGTGCAGCAGGTATTTTGCTAATGATATACAAATTATGTGTGATATGTTTTACTATCACACCAGTTTCCCATGCATTTGTTGATGCCATAATTAAAAGGTCATCTTAATGCCTTTAACAGCATTATTTTTAGTCTGGTGCTGAAACCATCAAACGGGCATAAAAGTAAACTGCACTCTCATGATGAATTAAAAAAATATAATGTTTCTGCAATGTGAATGTATTTTGTATATGTATCTTGTAAAAACAATGAATGGTTAAATCTTTGTGCAGTTAAAATGACTAGTTTTAAAACTATTTTCATAAGTAATTCCCTGCCCAATAACTTATTATTTAAAAGTAAGAATGATAGGGTTTGTTCTTTATTTTTAAGTTGCACTTGAACTGAATAACAGCTAAAATTACCACATGGATGCTAATATCTAACTAAAGCTAGGTTTATTTTGACACTTAAAAAAACACAGGTTGGTCAATAGTGTGGAGTGCTTGTGTTAAATGTGTTGTGTGTGGAAAGAAAAAGGTTTAGTTAGGAAAGTGTAGGAAGGAAATATGTCTAATTGCCGTTCAAGCTGAAGCTGGGATCTGCTTTAAATCTGCAGGAGATGTCTGTTAGTTTCCTTGAAGCATCAGTTGGTCGGTGCAGGGGTCGGTGCAGGGGTCGGTGCAGGACTGGATTTGGGTGGAGTCAGCTTCATGATATTGAAAAACTCCACCAGCTGACCCGGTACCTCTGCCAACACACTCTTTGCCAGTGCTTCCCGAGGAGCCTGAAGTGTAAAAAGAAGAGTTTAAAAAAGTACAGTGAGGTGCACATGGATGAGAAATTTGAATGTATTATGAAGTGATAATTATAACAACTGATTCAATTAAATGAAGGAAGCAGGGATGAGATGAGAAAGTCATGCAGATGAGGAGTTATGTTCCACCCTTTGAAATAATAATTATTAAAGGGTGTCATTTTGCACAGTGACAGCAAAGGCAATACCAGCAGCAATATTGTTTTATCTTGTCCTCTTACTTTTGTCAAGCTTCAACCTAATTCACTTTGGAAATAAGCTGAAGATTCAAACGGTCACGACATATTGATGACCAGTGATCGAGCAGTGTAGTACTACAGAACACATTTTGATGATTGTGTGCTCATTGTGGCTTGCCAAAGTGCATTAAACAAACCAGCCATACCAACAGTAGTTTCATTGTGGGATAGGTCTAGAAAGAAGGCCTTTAATCCGAGAAAAATTGCACTTTTTGCAAATATCATGCTATTGTTTTAGCACTTTCTCCGCTAGATAGATGACTGAAAACTGTATCCCTAACTGGTGTGTTTTAGAGACCAGGGGTCTCATTTATAAAGGGATATACGCTAAAAAAATGGCGTAAACCAGTTTCTACGCAATGTTTGCGATTTCTAAAATACTAACTTGACGGGAAAATGTGCGGTCCTCCACGCAAACTCGAACCCATGCGTACGCACTAAGCACACACGCGGGAGAGACGAGAAACTGCGACACCGTTGGCAGAAGGAAGAATGGAGAGAAATATGTGGAAATAATACCATAAATAAAATGTTACCTCTCATTTATCATATATGAAGAATTCCTTTTCAAACATTGATTAAAGCCAATCTTAAAATGATTAAACAAACACCTGTTTGAGACTCCTCAGTGCACACAAAAACATAACGTGGATAAATAAATAAATACGGATATGTTATTTAAAACCACCTCGAATATGTTGTGTTAATATTATGAAATGTTTTCTCATAAATGATGCTGTAAGCAGGAGGACAGAATTACGTCTAAACTGACGCCGTTTTGCATTTCTATAGGTTGTAGATATGAGCATGGTTTTATATACTATCATGTTTAATCGTGTTTTATGCCGTTTGCCAAGACTTGATAAGTCGCTCGTAAAACACAGGAGGTATGGAAACTAAGAACACCATATGTGGTAAATTGTACAGCTAATATAACACAACACATTAGTTGTATTTCCTTTAACTGGTGGATTATGGATATATAGTTGCTGATCGACAGCTGGAACACAAACCACCAAATACAACAAAATAATTCAGATCCAGTCGTCATGACTCCACTCCGGAGGGATTCCCCGATCATTTCTTACAGTTTCTCATCAAGGGGGTGTCTCCTGTCCCCGGGACAGACACACTGCCTGAGGAAGGTTATGTGTATTTTTTTTGTCATTAACTTTTTTCGGACCACTTGTTTATTTATTTTGGTGACGATCCGACCTCCATGCTGCTACTCTGGTTCAAACTGCATCCACCAAACAATATGATTTATCTCGACCTCCCCAAAATAACCAAAATCTGACACGGTGTGAGATGTATTTTTTTAGCTGTGCTGTCGTAATTTCCTGCGATCTTCTTCATGCAGTCAGTCAAAATGAATCGATGAATGGGCGTTTCTTTGACTATTTATAGGCAAATATGGGCGTTACGAGTCGATTGTGATTTATAAAGGGAAACAGGCGTAGGGAAGTGCCGTACGCACTTCCCTCGCCGGTACGCAATGTTTTGTGAATCGGAAAATGTCGGAACATTTGTGTACCTATTTTTTTGCTTTGTACTACGTAAGCAACCTTCCCACGTCAATCCTACGCAAGGCGTTATAAATGAGGCCCCTGGAGAGCAGTTTCCGCTTAAATGTAAACAAAAACATGAAACGTGATCAATCTTATCAAACCAGACAAAAGACAGAAAGTACAACATCATGTATTGTACCGTCTTACTTTAAGCTGACGAATGATCTTTGGCAAAACAGAGGTGAAAATGTTGAAAAGAACACAGCAAAGTAAAAAAAAAACAATGAGGATAGCAATCACTACATGTGATGAGTCATGCGGTGAGGCGGTTAATCATGTATGCCAAGCAAAGACTAGGGTGGTGGAGGGTTTTATGACTGAAATATTTGGGGTACCCCTATGAAGGACTAGGATCTCGGGGAGGCTTCAGTTTGAATAAACTGAAGAAGGAGGCCACTTGTTGAGGTAACTCGGCCAATACGCTCTGGGCAAGAGCCTGGCTGGGCGCCTGAAAAGAGATAAATACACAAAGTACACAAAGCTAAGTGAGATCTAGGTGGATGGGCTGGGAATCCCTGGGTTTGTGCATATATACCGGCATTGGATAGGGGAACTATTATATTAGGTTTGGATTGGCAATTTTAGAAGCAAGTTAACTTAAAAATGACGCAGTGAGATGCTTGGACAAAAGCCTGAAATGCATGCAGTTCTTAAAAGAAATTTCACAAGATACATTTCTGAAATGTAATGATTAATGTATAGCAATCATTTTTACAAGAGGTGTTGTCACGGTGACTTACCTTTTCAAACTGCCTGTATGGCACAAACTGGACGATGTCTCGCATGGCGGTCTCGCCGGTCTGAGAGCGCAGACGTCCATCGTCTCCATCGAGGAACTCCATGGCAGTGAAGTCCGCCCCCCCTACTCCTATGATGATGATGGACATGGGCAGACGAGAGGCGTTGACGATGGCACTGCGGGTGTCATCCATGTCCGTGATCACTCCGTCAGTGATGATCAGCAGAACGTAGTATTGCTTTGAAAAGAAGATCACTTATTAATTGGCAAGTTTTAAATAAAGACTAAAATGCTTCTTACATTGTCATATGATATGATCAAGATGTTCTAGATTTGTCCCTTCCAATTCCTTCAAAGGTCAGGAAATGTATTTTAGAAACATCAAACCTGATTTATAATGAGCTGCTGTCAATGGGCGCTATCCACATGCAGTTAGGGCAATGAGACACTCGGAATGCAAGCATGTGACACACCTGAGTAAATATTTTAAACTGACTAGAATGATTATTACTTAGCTCTGGCATTATGTCAAACGTTAATTATACCTGGAATAAAGGCAAGGCAAGGCCAGGCAAGTTTATTTATATAGCACCTTTCAACACAAGGTAATTCAAAGTGCTTTACAAAAATGGAAGACATTTTAAAAATGGCATTTAAAATCAGTCATTAAAAAGAAAAGATAATAAAATAAACATTAAAAGAAAAAATACATGGATAAAAGTTAAAAGTTACAGTGCAGTTTAAGATGTGAATAGTTCAATTAAAAGCAGCGGCAAAAAGTAAAGGGTTTCAGATGTATCTAGGTATTTTTAACTCAAGGTAGGGCCTCTCCTGCGCAGACAAATCTGATGCAATACATTGGATATATATAATGACATCTGAAAATAGCTTCAATGAGCAATCCCTTTTGTTGGGAAAATACTGAATGTACTCTTCTAATATCAGAGTAGCACATGATAACAAAGGCCCTACGTAGCTGTGTACGTAACCGGATGTATGATTATCTAGAAGAGCGTCAGGATCTGTTTTAGGCATATGATAGCTATGGGACAACTTAACATGAAGATTCAGCCTCTATGGAGATAGACATATGACTGTCATGTTTATTGCTTACGCAGGCCTTAGCTAATCTGAACTAAGCATAGAATACTGCTTTGAACCGGTATGCATGCATCTTGTGACTGCAACACCCTCTCTTTTATATAAAGCATCTGAAGGACACTGTTCTGGGAAGTATTTGTCCCATGCAGCTCTGTATGTGATGACTACTTCCATTCTTGCAAGGATAATAAATACATGTATTCTGATATTGAAGCTCACGCCGGTGACGAGTGATATTTTTCTTAACACCTTTGGTATCATCCATAAACCCCTGTTGCTCTGGTTGAGCTTCTATCAAATCATCCCATTACATTGTGAAAATGATACACGGAGATCTACTTTATCTGTGAAATATGGAGAGTCTATGTGCATGAAGGGCAGTTATACTGGTCATAGAAGCCTTCAGTCATATTACTGATGATGGATGAACAGAAATACTCACTGATGCAGTGGTCTGCTGCAGGGCTTGCTTAGCAAAGCCGGCCACGTGGTTGATGATGGGGGAGAAGTTGGTGGGACCGTAGAGTTTGACCTGGGGCAGACACACCCTGTAGGCCTCCACCACACCTTCTATGCCTACACACACACACACACACACGTTTGTATATTAAGCTGCATGTGTTCTGTAGAGTCTAGATAATATTTGTTGTAACAAGTCTTACAATCTTTCTACATACCTGTACAAAATGGATTTGACGGGTTGAAATTGAGAGGGAACTCATGGGAAACCTGTTCAATCCCAATATCATCAGATGTTAGTTCACAAGCCTAACTACCATATATCAGATTCAAACTGCATGCAAACAGCTGCTGTGTCTTTTAGGTGCATTTGTAGTTTTTACAATTAAATGCAATTCTTACCTGCCATGTGGGAGGGATTTGGGCTCCAAAGCCAAATGCAGGAAACATCTTGTCACTACACAGGAATGACAAAAAAACATTAGTACGTGAGTGACAAAATATTTAGGTATATTACACACAAAGAAATACAATCTACTAGGGAAATATTTGTACACACAATGAAGCACTGAACAGCCAATACTTTAAAAATGTGGAAGCCAATTTGCACAAATAATAATACTGTATGAGGTTTTGAATGTGGGTTTTATGTGTCATATACCTGTCATAGTCCTGGATAACATTGCCCACAGACCAGATGGCAGAGAGGTACTCGTTGACGCCCTGAGGACTGATGTAGTGCAGGGACTGAGGAGACTTGGGATCCCCGTTGGAGCCTGTGAAGTCAATAGCCACCTGCCAAAAGACATGCAGGGTTTGTTTGTGCCATGGTAATACAAGTGACTAACGAGAGGCATTGATACACAAGTCAAGACTTACGGTGAAATTGATTTGACAGCCTCCCATAATGTAATCCAGGAAGGTATACTCCTTCACCACCTAAAACATAGAGATCCATGTTATGAAAGAGCCCATGTATCTCAAAACCAAACTACTTAACTCAGGATTTATCACGCAAGCATTCAACACAAAAAACAGAACTATACCTGGCATAACTTCACGCTCACAACACCAGAGTTCTTGTAGCCTTTCTTCTTCTGTTTCTTTTTACTGTTCATGCATTCAAACTCTGCCTGAGGACAACACACAACAGCAAGGGTGTTATTACCAGTGGGAAGATTGTTTTCATTGTTAATTAATCTGTCCATTAATTTTTCTATTAATTGGTTCGTTTTTAGGTCTTTGAAATGTAAGAAGATGGTGTTTTCAATTGGTGTTTTTCAGAACCCAGGATGAAGCATTCAATGTATTTACAATTAGTGAATAAAGGGGAAATATTCTAATTTGGTTTTTACATCCAAACAATGTAAACACACATACTGGAGAGGATCGCGATGCTTGTTGGAAGCGTGTCATCGTGGTCTCAAAGGTTCCAATAAGATCATGTGAGCCATCGTTGTCATAGTCATAACACTCAACCTGGAAACAGGTAAAAGCACACAGTGGAGATTAAATCAAATTCAATTCAAATGAAAAAAAGTTAAATAACTTGCATATAGAAAACAAAACACTAAAAAGGGCCTGTTCACCTAAACTAGAAAAAAATTAAGCAGTGTTTACAGTGAGGTCTATGCATTATTATATTATAGTTTTATAATTTTGTAATATATTTTCAAAGACCTCCATTGTATTTGACTGGAGGCAGATCCTGAAAATCTGGGCAAATAAAACCGAAATGGTTTATTACATTTTTTTGTAATTTGCGTGAACTGACCCTTTATTGCAACAATTACAAATGTAGAAGTGAAAACATGCAAGTGAGATTGAAAACCTGATTCTAGGTAATATACTAGTGTGAGTGGACAGTAAAATGACTAAAGAAGAATGTGTACTTTCAGACAAATGTATTATGACACGATCAAGTTGGATGAAGAAATCTTGTAGGGCCAGAGATTTCAGGCGGCATCGTGTATTTTTCACACTCCCTTCTACTCCATTCACCCACATCACCCGTAAAGTGATGGCAAGATGAAAAAAGACAGAGACTGTAACACACTGGGTAACTCACTTGTAGTGTATAGTTGAAAACAGCCTCCTTCCTGACATGTTTGCTTCAGAAGTTAAAAAATATACATCATGAAACTGAGATGTTCTGAGAGAGCCAACATAAGTTTGCTGTGAAAACTCTTTACATCTTCAAGAAAGCTAGAATTATATCTAGACTATGAAAACATACAGTGCCACTTAACAAAACATTATCAACGGACGCCATAGCATATAGCAGGGTAAGAAACACACTGCAGATGTGCGAGTTGTTATGTTAGAAAAGCAATTACTTTTATAGGTTTGTCCATGTCTCCTCCACAGAGAGACTGCAGGGTGATTCGAAAGGGTTTCCATGTTGGATTCAAGTTGTTGTTCACCACCTGAGGACAGAATTAATGAAAATGATACAGGTGCAGACTTCCCTATTAGCACACATTTATCAAAGTCCAACTGAAATCACATTTAACCATCCATTTTTTAAGTCTAATTTAATGTTCACATGTTTTTTAATTTATTAAATACTTTTTAGTATTAAAGAAAAAGTGTACCCCATAATTAGAGGTACACTTTCCCAGGTGCATTTTTGTTAAGCTAAGCTGCAGAACTAGACAATGGTTGATGTGTTTAAGTCAGTTAAGAAGGAGACAGTAGCATGAAAGCTAATATGGGCTGTGGTTCAGTCTGAGGCTCCTGTATTGTGCAGCATGGTGCTGTCAGATGTGTCCCTGCTTTTTGCAAATATGGTTTAAACCAAATGATATAGATTTGAATTTCATCATGCACAAAAATGAGCATGATGAGCATAAATGAGCATGATTTCGCTGCTCCCTTCATACACAATAACAACATCCAATTTAACATTTGTTTGCAATGTAAAAAGTCTCAGTGGTATTGGCAGCGGTTAAGTGAGAGCACAGATAGAGGGTTACAGAACATTTGAGTTGCGAGGGGGACTTCCTATCATTTCAGTTTTGCCAAAAGGTGTGCCATTGCAAAGGATGCGAGTGTAACACAGCTATATCCCCAGTTGTTCCTCTTTTCATACAGACAGCAATGAATGAAACCTAATAAATGGGAGTTTAACCGACAAGGTAATACAAACTGTTTATCTTCATAGAGTTTTACTATCCCCTTCTGGGAAAGGGGCCGATTTATTTATGACAGGAAAGAAATAAAACATTGACATCAGAATACTGTGTATACCTCGGTCCTGTGAGCCAGCTGCCATCCAGTTGCTGTCTGCTTGTAGAATTCCAGGTAAGGGTCGGACTTCCCAAAGAAATCCTGGAAATTATGAAAGTAATGAGACACATCAATTAGAAAAATGCACTAAAATGTGTAAAAAGGAATGCAGGCATTTCTTTTTTTCAGCAAGAATCACACTCACCTTGTTATCAAGTTTTCTTGCTTCAACTTCAAAATTGGCCACCCTGCTATCTTTGATTTCTTCTGCACTGATCTACAGCAGAATAAAGAACCAATTAAATAACAGAAGGAAAGAATTGCAATATTTATTTGTAGCTCTCTCCAACACTCACTGTGATGGTCCCTTTTCCTGCAGGGGATTTTTTCTTCAAGAGAAGGGGTCGGGTCAGTTTTTTACTGGACACAACCTAAAAAAACAAGAAGTAGAGGTAAAAGATAGTTGAATAAATAGGTTCGTAATCAAAACAGCAGCCTCCAGATGATGAGGCACACCACATCCAAAACAAACTGGCAGAATACACATCTGGGGTCATGTTACACAGAAAGCCTACACAGCCTATCTGCTTATCAGAGATGGTAAATATTGATGTGTAATATGATCATAGCTCTTATATGTTATCCTACCACTCATAAACCTATGTGCCTGATAGGATTGTGAAGCCAATTTATCAACAACCCTTTTACTGTTGGTAACTTATAATCAGAAATGTCCAAATTAAAAGTGAAAGTGAAAGTATTCATCGTCTTTTGAAGCTCAAGGAGGACTTGCATACATGTAGTGTGAAGAATAAATCATGTATTTTTTCAGAAAAAGAGTCAAAAGCCTTACCTGGCCCAGCGTACACTCCAGTTCCCCCAGGAAGTCATCGTCACTCAGGTCGATAGATTTGTTGTCGATGTCATAAATCCCAAACTTCAGTTTCTGCACTATTTCAAAGTAGTAGTCGATGACAAACTTTTTTGCAAACTTTGGGCACAGGCAATTCTGGACTTGCTCAGTGCGTCCCACCTGTTAGGAAAAGTTGGATTGCAACTGTCATGCATACATTTCAAGAGATCCAGATGTCAAAAACGAAGGATGTATTGGCACATATGCACTGGTGAAACAGGAAATGGATGAGTGAATACTTCTTTACTCAACACTGAATTTTCCATTGGGGGGTTAACCATTAACACTGCTATGTCATTTTCTGTTGCAAGAGCAATAGTACTAACTGCCCCACCTAGGTAAAATGAATTAGGTTAAAAACCTTTCAAAACCAGACGATTTTCATTGGAATACAATTTTGCCTTTCATAATAATACATGTTTTTTAATATCGAGTGTTATATGTTTGAGATTCAGACCCAATAACATTTCAACAGTTAAATAATATAAACAATCAATCTGAAGTTCACTGATATAAAATCAATCCAGATGCAGGCATCCTACTGACCTCATACCACTGGGAGTCAGTGCTGCTCATCAACAGGGAACAGATGGGGTCAGACTTTGAGCCGATGTCCTTGTCCAGAAGATTCTCACAGGACACAGTCAGTTCTACCTTGGTTACACATTGAGTAGCAGCCATGTCTGCCTGGTAATGAGCTGGAGAAGCAACACAGACATGAAGGGACATAACAGTGTGGACATAACATGTTCAAACGTATTATTTAGGCTTGTTTACGCACACACTTAATGGTATGAATTGTGAAGATGCTAGTCAGGATTAGTTAGCCCTGTGAGGTTGGCATGCAGTTGGTTATGTTTACAAATGTGTGCAATTCGCAATGACGCTACTACGATGAGGTACGTTATAATTCGTTTTAATGGCTGTCAACACAGTAGCTTTACCCAATGCTACGCTTCAAATATATACAAAAGTGTGGTGCCTCATTCAGACATTTTCGAGTGAACCAGTAACGCCAACAACAAGTAACGTATTGTGGAAAATGTGACACATTAACAGTAATGACGTTCAACGTTAGACGGTAGGGAGGATAAGAGCAAAGGAGAAAGTACAACAGCTAACCTTAGCAAGCGAACTTGGCTAGTATCTAAAATGCGTATTGGTAAATTGGCCACTACTTTAGTCAGCACATTACATTCCGCAGACAAGTAAATCAAACGTACCGTTAGACGTGAAGCGTTGCAGGTCTCACAGAAGAGAGTGGTGGTGTTTATGTCTAGATATTAAAGCTAGTTTACGGTTAGCAGGGTGGTGTCGCCCTTTCCAATGTAAAAGTATCACCAATACGTGTAACGTTAGATCCTCTGTAGCTGCTCCGCCTTCAACATGCAAAGCAATACGCCCAACGACACAGCACAACAATCCTGTAACAACAACTCATACAGTCATGCCACGATTGTACACTTCCTGTCTCTCAGTTTTATTTTGAAATGTTTTTATCGGATTCTGTTTTAAATTATCTGACTCTTTTTAATTGAAAGTTGTCATGGATCCGTGATCTGGTCCACATGGGTACAATCCTGAAAGTTCTGCCTACTGTTGTGGTCACAGTCAGTCACAGTGCGAATCTGTATGTCTATTTTGTAAGTTTTATTTTGAAGTAATAACCGGAAAACCGGAAGTGTGGTAAATGATCAGATTGGGTACCTTTAAAAATAGTATAACAAAAATAAAACCAGTTTTTTTACGACTAGAGTGCAGTTAACTATGATGTATTTGAAATACTAACTGCCTGCCTGTACTACTACTAACAGTACTAACACTTCCAATAACACGTATTCTTATGATGTTCCGATATAATCACTTAAGAATGCACAACATTGATTAGGAATATGATTCACTACTTAGTGAAAATACAATATTTATTTTATGTCATGACATGAAGGCAGTAGCAAAAAAAAAGTTCAAATTTTCAAATTTACATGAAGTATTTTGTTTAGCTTTCTGTTATATAAATTGAATTAGATCTTGTTTCATGCTTTGCAAATCATATTTACACACAATCATAGTAAACTCGTAAAATATGTAACACATATTAAATATCAGTCAGTATCAAATACACATACATTAAGTGAAATCAGGCCTTATTTATAACAGTCATTTAAGTTAAGACATGGTGAACTTCTGGTGTAAATCAGTGTGAACATGCATTTACCAAATTAAGCTTTTTCTAATGATTGAATCACTCATTGGGATTCTTCTTGATTAACATTCACATCACCTAATATTATGTAAAAAAAGAAACCGCATGAAGAACAAAACAGTAGCAAGGACAGGTTTTTGTAGTATAAAGTCTACAAAAGGTGTCTGTTTAGGCAAACGCATTAGTCCATTATATATGGATCAATCATGTAAACATTGTTGCATTGTGTTAATAGTACGGCTTTGTCCAAGATTGGTGATTTCAATTGAAATATGCCTTATTTTCCAGGGAAACATGAAAGTGGTCATTGTAAAAAAAATAGAAAATATGAAGGAAATATTAGCAGAAACATGGAGAACACATGAATTACTCCAGCCCTTTCATGTAGATGTTCTACATTTTATGTGGACTAATGAGATAACTGGTAAAAGCTAACTTGGTTATTACACAAAAAACAAAGACCTTCAGTCAAGTCACACTAGTTTCAATGAATGCCTTAACGATGATGCAGAACAACCAAATAAAAAATGACTTTAAATCTTAAAAATCCTGGCACTTGTGTCACATTAAGTCTTATGTTACATTAACAATAAATCTGTGTTAAGTACATGTTAAAAAACATTTAAGAAATGGTATACCGTATCAGTGTATAATGGCTTTATATTATTAGTGCATACAAGTATTTACAAATCATACCATGAGTCCCAGACTTGATGGTGCATGCTCATGTAGTATATTGAGAATACATCACGGGGGGGGTGCTGATGCTGCGGGGTCAGGGAGAGGTGTGTCTCCTTGAGGTGGTCTCAATCTCACGCTGTTGAAGAAGCTCACCACCTGACCCGGGACTTCTGCCAAGACGCTCTGAGCCAGCATTTCCTGAGGAGCCTAAAGAGAGGGAGTAGAGAGAGAATTTTGAGGAGTCAGTGATTTAGAAGGATGTGGCAGGGGAAACAGCTGAAGCAACCAAAGAAGGGAAGCAGCGGGGGTGCGGAGATGTGCCACAGAGGTCAGAGGAATACATTATTTTGATGAAAATGTAAGTTTAATCAGTATATGAGTATACAAATAACTGTGGCACATTGGTAGAAGCTTTAAAAACAACATTTAACTCTAAATGTCGTGCATATATAAAAAAATGTAAGCAACAAAATGCAATAATCCTGCAATACTTGGTTATGCTAGTGAGGTTAGGTGACTGAAGTAGTTACTGTACAGATTATCAACATACTTCCCACAACATATAAATGGTATGGTATGAATGCTGGTCTTTAAGCAAATAAAGCTTTGGTATGACATCATTTGAAATATGTAATATTACATTAGATGAGATCATATGTGCTTATATCTGAACACTAGGGATACGGCTCGTTAGTTTAGCGCAAGACAAAGACAGCAGATGGGGAAACAGCTTGTATCTCATGTTTATGTTATATTAGGGCTGTATTGGATAGTTCAGAGCTTCATTTATAACAGTCTACTGTCAGTTGTTGTGAACAAAGCGAAGCACGCTCCTGTATAAACTAAGGATCATAACAAATGACAACAGACCAAAAAAAAAGTACATATGGTACAGTCCCATCGTATATCGCTTTTTTTTTTAATGCGTCTAAAAAACAACATGTAAATTAACCATTTACATGTTGTAAGGAGCATTATGTGCCTTGTAAAATCTCAAAGCTAAGGCACTGAGCAGTTGCCAGGACCACAGTGGAGACTCCAGGAAATTTCTGCTCACTCCCTCACAAAAAAAGCCCTGTAAGAGCACTTTTCAGTTAGAGTTTTCAGCAGTCCACACCCTGCAGTACATGATGACATAATGTCCCATATACTGTGAAATGGAAAGGTTATAAAAACAGTGGAATAAACAGCTTGGTGAATTAAGCAAACTAGGTTGTAGAACTATGCTTCTAGTGTTATACATGCAGCTTTGAACTAATGCGTGGAAGAAGAATGGACAAAGGTAAGTGAAACGCTGCGGGTGCTCCTACGTTTCTACGAGGGAGTGGGCTCGCTGGGGGGCTTCAGGTCAAATTTATTGAAGAAGGAGGCCACTTGGTCAGGCAACTCTGCCAGTACACTTTGGGAAAGGGCTGCAGTGCCTGCCTGAAATAAGATATTTAGACACGTTGTTTAATGATTTTAAAGAAGCTAATGTGCCTACAAAGACTTTGCTCTATGAGATAGCTTACATTTTGGAACTGTCTGAATGGCACAAACTGCACGATGTCCCGCATGGCAGTCTCGCCTGTAGGACAGCGTAAAACTCCATCGTCTCCATCGAGGAACTCCATGGCACTGAAGTCCGCCCCACCTACTCCGACGATGATGATGGACATGGGCAGACGAGAGGCGTTGACGACGGCTCTGAGAGTCTGGTCCATGTCTGTGATCACTCCGTCAGTGATGATCAGCAGCACAAAGTATTGCTGTGGATTATTGACATAAAAGGAACAAAACAAGAATTATATTTAAAAAGGGAAGTGGTTTTCACCTAGTATTGTGTGGAAAAGAACAACTGATTGAGACTGTGTCATCCCGTGCTAGATTTGCATACAAAAGCCATCATTTTGGCAGATATTAGACTCCCAGCGACTCACAGAGGCAGTTTCTTGCTGCATGGCCTGCTTGCCAAACTGGGCCACATGGTTGATGATGGGGGAAAAGTTTGTGGGACCGTAAAGCTTCACCTGGGGGAGGCAATACTGGTAGGCTTTGACCACACCTTCTATGCCTGGAAAAAAAAACACAAATACAGATCTTAGAGCATTATTTTATATATATATTTCCATGTAACTTAGCATGATTGGAAATAGATAGCACTCTGCAACATGAAGATCAATTTATGGGCCGAAGGAAAACTGCAGAGCAAATCAAGTTTCTGTACAAAGTGATTGGATGCTGCAAATCAATTTTTGCTTAACTCTATTTGTTTGCAAAATGTTCTCCTGACTGACTTATCAGTCAGTGCTTCAAACATCAAATGCCAAACTTTCCAACAAATGCTCTCATGTCGTACTGCGCCACACTACTTCTGAGAAAAGCTAAATATGCATGTCCCGTTATCTAAAGACTATTTATTATTACCTGCACAGAATGGGTTTTCTGGGTTGAAGTTAATGGGAAACTCGTGGCTGACCTGGAAACACAAACAACCGGGTTCAATATTAAATGTTTTGGTCTGCCGGCCAAGACATATTCCACTCAATTGGTTAACATTTAATTATTTGGGCTGATGAGGATTTCAAATCAACAAGTCACTTGCATATCTAACCAGCATTTTGTAAATGATGCTAGTTTTGTACCATGCAATCAATTATAAGGCTGGATCCAGCACCAACGTTTACATACATCCAAGACACACTTTGTCATGTATAAAGAAATTAAATTATGACATGGAGATAGTGCTAAACTAATATTCAAGCAAGTTGTAACCCAAACAAATAATCACCTGCCACGTAGGAGGAAGCTGGGCTCCAAATCCGAAAGCTGGGAACATCTTGTCACTACAGGAAGTGAAACACAACAAAGGATTAGACTCGAGCCGCAGACTTTCAATGTTAATGTTCCTCAAAGCTCCATTCAGCCATGACGGAAAATAAGAGATGTACACACTATATCCATGCCCTGTTTCTCATACCACCATAATACGTTATATATAACAATCTATGTACCTGTCATAGTCCTGGATGACATTACCCACTGCCCAGATAGCTGCCAGGTACTCATTATAGCCCTGAGGGTTGATGTAATGGAGGGACTGAGGGGAGCTGGGATCCCCGTTGGAGCCTGTGAAGTCAATCGCAATCTGGCCATGGGTGAATGAAAAAAAACACAGACTCATAAAAATGTAAACATCATAATTATTGTTTCCTAAACACATTAAATCCTCAATATGAACGGTACAAACAACATATAATGCAAATATCAGGGATAGTTTTTTTTTGTAGGATTCAAAAACATGTGTAGTACTCACAGTGAAGTTAATCTGACAGCCGCCCATTATGTAATCCAGAAAGGTATACTCCTTCACTATCTGTAAAGACATTTTAGAAACAAAATATTATTTACCTGTTCATAAAATAGTAATAGAATACGCATATACTAAACAAATGAAAGTATTGGTTACGTCATAAAAAATCTATTTAAAACCAAAATACCTTGCATTTTTTAACAACGATAACACCAGAGTTTTTGTATCCTTTCTTCTTCTGTTTCTTCTTACTGTTGATGCATTCAAACTCGGCCTGAGAAGAGAACAAACACACAATACCAAGTGTCAGTAAAAAAAAAAATGTTTAAAGGAGACCCTTTTTTATTAATGCATCCAATAAGTTCCAAAACACCAAGAAAGAGCGAGAGATCTCACCGCATATGTTTGTGATCCCTGCTGTATTTGGGCCAGTGTTGTCTCAAAACATCCAATAAAGTCATGAGATCCGTTGCTGTTGTAGTCATAACAATCCACCTGAGAGAGACAGACAGTTAGGAGAAACAAGACAAATCCAGTCAATTCTCTTGAGCAAACATTTTTATTTGACTTATTTAACTATCATCAGTGTGTGAACATCAAAGCAGATGAGACAGAAGCATGCTTTGGGGGTGAAGCTACAGATGTAACACAACACCCATATATTGATAAATCTAAGAGAAACACACGCAAGCCTTTTACTGGAAGGGGAACTACCTTTTAGAATGAGACACAGTGGTGATTTCATTGTTGAAGAAACAGGAAAAAGACAGGTGAAGACACCGCATGGAGCAACAAACTGTGTGATGCTACAGTCAGTCTACAGGGTGGATATCTAAGAAAGCTCATGAATAAGTAAAAAAGGTATCTATCTTTACGGAAAATCTGTTGGTCGACTTACCTGTGAATACATAATTATCAGGTTATTTAAATTATTAGTATGCTATATGTTAGTAGGCCACTAGCACTTGTGGTTATATATACATTTCATATCCTTTGACATACAAATATATTCAATATTAAATACCTGATTTATCCCATCATGATCAAAAAAATATGAGATCAGTCTTTTATAACACATATGCTGTATATGCTATGTAGAAAGGCAAATTAGCAACCTCATGATACCTATTCAGCGCCTTGGATTTTGTTCTATTTTGACTTAAAATGTAGCTTCATACATACTTTAAGTTCTTATTCAGTCCATTCTGAGTTCATGCTAGTGCCCCATTGTCTGACAAAAGTCAATGTTCAACCAGTGACTCACTTTACTCGCATCATTCAACAGGTAAGTTGACCAACAAAGCCAAACTCCTCAAGTTTGTAAGATAGATACTAGAGTGTAAAGGTCTTTGTCCTGTCACAGACACTGCATCCTACACGTGAAGCACTCACGCTGGAGACAGTAAACTCACTTTCACCGTAGACTGGGAAGCAGCTCTTCCAGACAAGTGTGCTTTTAGAGGGTTAGAGATTGGAAACAAAACACAAAATACATAAACTAATGCTAAAAAAAACATGTCCTTATTTAGACAATCAAGGAAACATAGCCGGGGGGTTCTATTGTGGTTTTGATTCAGTCTTTTGGTGATCTTACATAACAAAATTAAATTCCATTAGTGATCAAAAACGTTTGTTTTTCCTTGTTGACGTTCAGTGGAGCTGAAAAAACATATCATATATACATTTTTGAAATAGGCTTGACCTGCTATAGGTGTATTACGACAACTGTGATATTTAAAAAATGAAAATTGGATAACACGTAATAAATAACAATTTCTATAACAAATTATAATTTATTCAGCAAAGCTAATCCATCACTGAATGAAAAACTGATATTACGCCAGCATGAAAGACTGACAGTAGATAAAGGCTGCCGTGTCATCATTCACAATTCCCTACAGTCAAAGTGTGTGTGTGTGTGTGTGTGTGTGTGTGTGTGTGTGTGTGTGTGTGTGTGTGTGTGTGTGTGTGTGTGTGTGTGTGTGTGTGTGTGTGTGTGTGTGTGTGTGTGTGTGTGTGTGTGTGTGTGTGTGTGTGTGTGTGTGTGTGTGTGTGTGTGTGTGTGTGTGTGTGTGTGTGTGTGTGTGTGTGTGTGTGTGTGTGTGTGTGTGTGTGTGTGTGTGCCTTTATAGGTCTCTCCACATCGCCTCCACAGAGGGCCGGAAGCGGGATGCGGAAGGGTCTCCATGTTGGGTTCAGGGTGTTTTTCACCACCTGCATGACAGTACAGATTAAAAAAACACTCCGAAAGGTGACATGCATCAACTGTATAAACTCCAAACTGTCAATACACATTCTGGTTATGACTTTATGTGCCCATGCACTGCCCAGGAATCCTTGGGCATGATATATAGTAATGATGTAAAGCATGCTACACAGCGAGCATATCTGTACCTCTGTCCTGTGAGCGAGCTGCCATCCAGTTTCTGTCTGTTTGTGGAATTCTAGGAAAGGGTCGGATTTGCCAAAGAAATCCTGGAAATAAGTAAGAAAATAATAGGAGGTTAAAATAAATAAATGACTCAATAATACTCAGTTTTGGGGAGCACTATATCAACGTGTTTCACACTAGATGGACGAATATTTTATAAGTTTTATAAAGCTTTCAGCAATAACCCTATGGTCATTTCAACATTTTTAACTCCAGTAGGTTCATATACAATATTTGAAACATGATTCCGAAGCAATCAATACCTTTTTATCCAGTTTTCTACCTGCAGCTTCAAAATCCACCACCCTGTTGTCTGTTCGTTCTTCAGCACATATCTACAAAACATGCATTGTGTTACAAAATACCGCATAAGACAATTATGACAGTTGTCTTATTGACAATTTAAATCCAATACGACTCACAGTGATGGTCCCTTTCCCTGCAGGTCTCTTGTCCTTATGGACAAGTGGTCTTGTTAGATTTCTTGAGGATACAACCTGGACAGAAAAACCCTTTTCTGAATCATACAATCACTGGATATGTCACAGCCTCAACACCAATCTAAAATAATAATTCAACAGAAAAATAATAAGGCAAATGTGCTAACCTGTCCCAAGGTGCACTCCAGTTCTCCCAGGAAGTCTGCATCTTGCAGACTGCAGTTTTCGCTGTCAATGTCGTAAATTTCAAACCTCAGCTTCTGCACCATCTCAAAGTAGTAGTCGACGACAAAACTCTTGGAAAACTTTGGATTTAAGCTGTTCATGATTCTCTCTGTCCGGCCAATCTAAAACAGATACAAAAGATAAAAAATACCTTTTTTATACAGAATCAGAAACTCTTTTGACTCACAGCAGGTGCTGACATGTCCATAATGACAGCAAATAGATCCATAAGAATGAGGATATTTCTTGAATTTTTAGATCAACTTTTTAAACACGCTTACCTCACACCAGTGAGGCCCTGAGGAGTTCATGAGGAGCACACACAGAGGGTCAGACTTTGAGAATGTATCCATGTCGAGCAGATTCTCACAGGAAATGCTCAGTGCCACTTTGGTCACACATTCAGGGACCTTTGGCCCTGGGGATCCAACTGCTGCCATGACAGCCAGGAAGAAACACACTCACACACAAACTGACACACAGAAACACAGATACAAATCTTTAAAAAACTGAAAGGAAACATTTTAACTGCCACACCCAGTCATTTAAGTTATGACTGGCTTATACTGAGAGCAGTAGCAATATGCATGTTGTGTAACACTTGCTTCATCCTCCTGTTTATCTAGCTGGCGTTAATACTTTTAGATTGTCAAATACAGTTTCCTTGGTTGGCAGATACAGCCTACGAAGAGGACCAAGCAAATACACCAAACTGCATCAAAATCCATGTTATCCATTGGATACATCAATAGATATGTGTAGCAACATTTCATAGAAGTCATGTAATGATTCATTACGTTTGTATAGTTAATTCGGCCAACACATTTCATTAAATGTAGGATTTATCAAACGCTAAACGGAGTGCCATCCAGCGGTGAGGTAACGTTCATCTAGCTCTCCAGTGAATGATACTGTCCCATACGGGGCTAGAGTTAGCTGAAGCTTGTATTGGATACATTAACAATTAGAGTCAAACACTCACCTTTGTCATAATGTGGTCTGTTCATGACAAAGCCATCTTAGCAACGTTAAGGTAACGTTAATGGGACATAAAATAACGGACCGTGCTGAAGGAGCTTTTACCAACGTAAGCTAACGTCAACGTTACATCGGCGGATGATTCGAAATATATTTATCCACGTTTATTGATGTTAAAATACATGTATGTAAACTGTTATTAAGGAGTATCTTACTTTACTTTAACGAGTTGACGCCTATTTGCTTTGAGCTAACGTTTAATGTCAGCTGATACTTATAAAAGTAACTTAAAAAGGCAACGTTAACGTACGCCTATCTCCAGTAAGTAAGCAAACTAACTTAAAACCTAGCGTTATATTTATTTTGACAGTTAAAACAGAATAATGTCAATAGTAGTTTCACTTTGTATGTCTTACCTTGTTAGCTACATACGCTAGCTGTGGGCTGTGGTTTGCTGTTGGCAGAAATGACAGGAGGAGGAATAGGAGCTGGCTGTGGTGGGCGGGGCCCAGTGCGCTCGTTTCCAGTTAGAGGGACACCCGTCCCTCACCCATTGCCTAGCCACTAGCCATATTCATACCTGATATCATTACACTGGACAAATAAGACATACCTCTTTCATTGTGTTTTAGGGCTTCTTGTGAATATATAATCTTGGATTTTTTTTCAGTCAAAAAGTCTGATTGATTAATTTTTTTCATTAAAATCTCTTCAAAGGTTTTTAATAGCTTGCATATCATGACACCAAATGACTCCAGGTCATTGGGGAATTGTATACATACACTGGAAAAGTATAAGCATGTTTTCCCCAATGTTTCCAACAACTTTCTCAAGAAATCTGTCATTTTAATCTGGTTTTATGTGGTTGCCTTTAATTGAGACATATCCCCTTTGGACATGTGTCAGTGGCAGTGGCGGCGCCAGGGTATGGCTGGGGTAGGCTACAGCCATACCAAGAAATGGCTTAGCCCCACCATGAAAAATTATGTTAAAGTAAGCAAAATAAAGTCCGCCAACTCGCGCGGAGTAAATTGCACAGGCAGCAGCTAGTAAGATTGATTTCAGTAGCCACTTGTCTGGAAATACCGAAGACTAGAAACGGTTTTGAAAACTTTTGTCACGTAGTGATCGTCTTCTCAATAAAACATCTTTGATAATGTCTTCTGGCCAATCAGAATCACGATAACGGCGTGATGTTGTTGCAGGAAGTCCCGACGGAGAATACTTTTGCTGTAGTACATCTGGCTACATCGATACAACATTACGTGTTGATAGAAATCAACACGTAATGAAATAAGACCCCACGGTTTGATGATTGATAGGTGTGTGGGCTGTCTTTCATTTTGACACACAGAACAATGGGGGCTATCCACCCTTATCCACAATGTAAAGTAATTCACACAGCCTCTTCCCTCTTCTCTCTGTGAGGAGCAGCAGGTTCAGCTTTCAGAACAAAGTAACACAAAACAAAAATGGCATTAATTTTTTTAAATGTGTAGTAATAGATTTATTTATTTTTCTTCTCAAGAGAGTACCAGAATGTGTATTTTATGTTAGTATTTCAAAAAATCTCCTGTGGGAGAATCCCCCCCAGACCCCCCTGCAGGGGTCGGGTTTTCAGCATGTCAACTCTTTCACCTGTGGGGAAATTGCAGGAATGGCTCCAGGTCGCCCTTTTTATTTACTACAAGACAAATATGCCTTTTTATAATTTCATACAGTTCAATTTGGATTGAGACAGGGAAATAATCTAAACCTCACGCGTGGCGTTTCACTGTCAAGGGGGGCGATATAGCGTGTATGTAATTACATTGCAAATTGAGCCCCACCATAGATTACCCAACAAAAATACTCTGGTCAGTGGTGTGGTTGTCTACCATAAGCTGTCATAAACTTATGTATTATCTCATTTGTAGCCACATATTTCCATTACAAGTGACATGTTTGAGGTTAATTATGAATACGTTGGTCAATTCTTTCAACCATGTTCACTTCTTGGCATTTATTTGCAACAATCCATAAAGGAATCCAAGAAAGAGGCTGCAGGACATAAGATTTATGTGGGTTACTTTAACAAACCTTTCTAAGACGGCTCAGAAACACTGGATACATAAGGGGGTTTCAACTTGAATAAATTGAAGAAAGAGGACACTTGATCAGGCAGCTCGGCCAGGACACTCTGAGCAAGGGCCGCGCTGTTTTCCTGCAATGGCAATGTTAGAAAAATAAAAGAGAGTCTTAGCCAGGTTTGGGAGAAACTAGTTGACATTGAAGTGGGCATGTGTCTGTGATAGTCCTTTCATTAAGTCATGCTGCTTACTTGGAAATCTCTGAAGGGCACAAACTGCACAATGTCCCTTGTGGCGACAAGACCTCTGGGTGAACACAGCAATACATCATCACTGTCGAGGAACTCCATTTCGCCAAAGTCTGCCCCCCCCACGCCCACTATGATGATGGACATGGGGAGACGAGAAGCATTGACAATAGCCGTGCATGTCTGGTCCATGTCTGTGATCACTCCATCTGTGATAATGAGCAGCACGAAGTACTGCTGCAGATGGGGCGAGAAAAGATTTTAAACAATGTCAGATATTAAGAATACACAGACCGTATCATTTCTTGTTGGGATATGAACTTAAAAATATATTATGCCTAGTTTGTTTGAGAAACGTATAACTTACTGAGGCCACATTCTGCTGTAGAGCTTGTCTGGCGAAGCAGGCCGCATGGTTGATAATCGGAGCGAAGTTTGTGGGGCCCGAGAGCTTCAGCTGGGGTAGACACTGCCGGTAAGCCTGCACCACACCCTCTATTCCTGTAACACACACACACACACTAATATTACTGAACAACTTTAAACAACCGAAAACGATCTTGTGACCAAGTTCAACTTACCCACACAGAATGGATTTGATGGATTGAAATTGATAGGAAACTCATGGGAAACCTGTAAACATAATAGATGGATTTAATTTTTTTGTTTTGATTTAGAAAATTAAAAGATGCCAGTCAGGAAAACACGGTCACATTATTGTCCTTTTATTAATGATTTCATGTAGATTTACAGTGTACAATAATGTAATGGGTAACACAGCTTAAATCCCAAAGAGAACAATAATGTTAACCTGCCAGTTAGGAATAGTTAAAAAAAAATCACTCTCACAAATGTGGCCCTTGAACTGATTTTGCAGTTCATAAAGTATACAATTAGACATAGATAAACTGGACATGTGTGCTCATGCTATGCAAAGATATTTAAAGTGGACCTATCATGCTATATTTGAATAATATAGTATAGGACCATACCTACATAAGGCATATTTATACTTTTTTTTTTCAAAATACCAAACAGATCATGCATTTTAGCCATGCCTCATTTTGCTCAATTTGACATTTTTTAGCTCTGTTTTTGCAAGGGCAGATTATGTGAGAACAGCACCATCTACAGGCCTGGCATATGTACTACAGCGTCTCCAGCGCTTTCGAACGGCAATGGCCGTGGCTGTCTCCTCATGATTGGTGGAGTTGGCCCAATAGCCGTAGCGCCACCGTCCTGACGTCAGGACAGTGTTCAAATCTGGATCAGTTTTTATCAGATCCGTTGCAGCCCCTTTTTTAGAGATTTGGGTATGGAGGAAAATAGAGAGGGTTGTGTTTTCTGACACTTGGTGAGTTCCCTGGAACACCGGGGACACATATTCATGTATAAAAGACGTACAAAAGTGCATTTTGCATGATAGGTCCCCTTTAAATTAAATCTTTCTTAAACTAGTGTTAGACCATGTTGAGGGAACTATTTGAAGAGCTTCAAGTGGTGAATCAGCCATTAATGCTATACACGTGAAATTGTGCTTGTCCATAGCATGAGCTTGAATTATGTCCAAAGTCAAGATAAGAGTTTTAAAGTATTTTAGATTTTTTTTCTTACTCGCTGAGAGAAAGGTAGCTCGGCTCCAAAACCAAAGACAGGAAACATCTTGTTGCTACAAAGAAAGACAGGAAAATACAGGTGTAACATTACTAATGCATGTTAAACAGGGAACATCATTCAGTAGGTTAAAGTTATACTAATTAAATCCTGTAAAGTATGATCATTGTAAGCAAGATAGAAATGTTCAAATCACAATAAAAAAAAAGTTGATATACATTGGATTTAAATGGCTTAAAGGTAGGGTAGGTAAGTTTGAAAAACCGGCTCGAGATACACTTTTTGTTATATTTCATGGAATGCTCTTAACATCCCGATAGCAATGAATATCTTAAGTGCTTTGACAAAAAATCCATAGAAAAATGTCATCTGTGGAAGCCGTAATACTGTAAAAAGCACAACCAATCATCTGAGCCGGCCCGGCTAAAATAACTGGATGGCCTACCTGCCTGTCAGCCTTCCATCTGTGCACAAACTTATCTCGTGCCCTCATTGGTCATGTGCGCGTTCGTGTGTGTTGGAGGAGGGGCTCTATAAGGAAGTGGCAGATTTTCTCCGGTTGTGTATTTTCAAATTCTAGCGATCTCGAGCCGGTTTCTCAAACTTACCTACCCTACCTTTAGCGTTTGCTCTTACCTGTCGTAGTCCTGGATGACATTCCCCACCGCCCAGATGGCTTTCAGGTATTCATTATATCCCGCAGGGTTGATAAAGTGGAGGGAATTGGGAACGTTGGGATTCCCGTTAGAGGCTGTGAAGTCAATGGCAATCTGTCCGGGGTACGACAGAGGATAAGGATCGCGATATGAAGAGCTGTATATCTACACGGTATACCAGGTATAGTACTTGCTACCTTGAAGTAAATGTAGGCCCATCCAAGTCTTATCAAATTAAATAATTAATTTTACTGATAAGACAGAACAAAAATACCATTATCAGAATCTCTACCCAAGGCTTTGCCTTGCAAATAAGCGCCAAATTTATCTCACAAGCCAATCAGATCAGGCCTTCAAGAGACAGGCGGAGCGGAGCGTTTCAGACCGAGGGTGAATACAGGTATACTCAGATAGACATTATGGGAACAATCATATGGTTTTTTTGAGCATTAAAACTTTTAAACATGTGCTAGAAGAAACCCTAAATACAAGTATGAACATTAAATTGAGCATAATGTTTCCTTTTAAGAAACAACATCTTGTGTCTGACATTCGCAAACTCACAGTGAAGTTGATTTGACAACCCCCCATGATATAATCCAGGAAGGTATACTGCTTCTCCACCTGAAAAGGAAAAACAGTGATGCAATGCAAAAACAAGAGTGGTAATAAATATATGTATTTCTAGTTGTCCTATTAAAAGGGTATGACCTTAAAATGTACAGTAAGTGAGAAGATATACTGAAATCAATATGTCCTTATTTATAAATCATCACCTGGCAGTTGTTGATGCAAATGATCCCAGAGTTTTTATAGTTCCTCTTCTTTGACTTTTTTGGATGAGTGCACTCAAATTCTGCCTGCAAGTAGGAACACCAGTGGTATTTATGGCGGTTAAAATAACCAATAACAGGTATTTTTTGGTGAATCAAACACACTAACACAGAAGTCTTACCGCAGAAATGCGTGTTGCAATTTGCATCTCAGCAAGTGTTGCTGTAAAGCTGCCGATGAGCTGATGGGAGCCGTTGACGTGGTTGTCATAACAATCCACCTAATGACAAACAAAGAGATTTCCATTAAAAAAACAACAGCCACTCCACGAAAATTAAAAACTAAAAGGCAGCAGTCATAGTGCTTAGAAACAGTTGTATTATATGGGATGTAGATAGCAAGTCTTTCTTTATACTACTACTGTTTACTACAATAGAGAGTGTCCCTTGTCATAGAATTGTTTCATACCTCACATGCAAAACATAGCAATCACATTTCACTCTTGGTTATCAATGTTAGAAATAAATGCCTTTGGAGTAACTCAAATTTGTTCAGATAATATAGCAAAATGCACACCTTTGGGTGGAGACGTCATGAATCGTGCGTACACACACATACCCCTTATCCAGCTGGGTCGCCGCGTGTTGTAATTATGGGAGCATTGTAAGATGAATAAAAAAATGCAATTACAAGATTAGTATGTTAAAGGACCATGTGCAACAAGCTGACCTTTTTTTAAATAAAAAAAGGACAAAATAATCTACTGAGAATACACATTTTGCTAACGGGTTGCATATGCTCAAGCTTACCAACTCCAAGCATTCCAAATGCACGACACTAAAACAAAAAATGCCGAACTTATGTTTCTTTGGCAGGTATTTAATGTTTTTAATGTTTCTTCTTTCCTTTTTGAGTTACAAAGTATCTGACATGTAGCAGTATTGACTAAAATGGAAAATACAATTACCCTTATAGGTCTCTCCACATCTCCTCCACAGAGGGATAGCAATGAGATGGTGAAGGGTCTCCAGACTGGGTTTTGCTTGTTTTTGACCACCTACATGAACGGGTTAAAAAGAGCCAAAGGTCAGTAAGGACTCCATGCAATCAGAGAAATTGAGTTTGAGATAAAAGTGTGTACCTCTGTTCTGTAAGCCAACTGCCATCCAGTTTGTGTCTGCTTGTAGAATTCCAGGAAAGGGTCGGACCACCACAAAAACTAGACAATAATATCCAAAGATAGTTTTGAAATAATATGTAAAATAAATAACGTCAGACTTTTTAAAATGACCTCCATTACCTTTTTGTCTAACCTGCGAGCCGACACCTCAAAGTTTGCCACCCTGTTGTCTATTATTTCTTCAGCACAAATCTATTAATAAAAAGATACCACACATGAAAAGACAATTGGAGTTTTGTGCATAAAACATCAGTGAGAAACTTTTCTGAAAGGGAGAGCCTCAATCGCAGCTAAGGCACTGCATATCATTTCTAATGAGCAAAGAGTCCACTCACTGTGATGGTCCCATGACCTGCAGGCCTCTTGTTATTCAGCAGTAAAGGTCGGGTCATCTGCCTGCTTGAAACAATCTGGACACAAAGTACAGCCAGTGTCACATATAAGAACATTACAAATCTGGCAGAACATCACAGTACACAGTGACTCTCACCTGACCCAGGGTACACTCAATCTCCCCCAGAAAATCATCATCAGTCAGGCTGTGGCTGTCATTGTCGATGTCATACACACAAAACTTTAGCCTCTGCACCATCTCGAAATAGTAGTCGATCACAAACTTCTTGGCAAACTTTGGATTCAGGCAGTTCAGGATCATCTCTGTGCGTCCAAACTGGTTCACAAATAAAGGGGAAAAAATGCATTTGAGATCAATGTAGGTGGGCAAAAGCAAATGGCTTATTCAAATTAAGGCTTTAACTCTGATGACCATGACCTAATACAGACCTCAGACCAGTGGGAGCCTGAGGTGTTGATGTACAAGGCACACAAAGGGTCTGACTTGGAGAAGATGTCCATGTCCATGAGGTTCTCACAGTAGATGGTCAGCTCCACCTTGGTGGCACAATGGTTGGCCGAGGGTGGCAGTGGGGCCCCACCTGAGGCCATGGCAGCTGGCTATGCTAAGATGAGAGAAAAGCCACAGATATTGTCAGAAGTGAGAGGGACTAAGTATTTACTCAGGTATTTTGATGTGTTGGGTTGTTTTTATCAATCATTAACAGGTGCCACTCAGCATAATACCTGTACTAATTTAATTTCCACTAGTACTTTGACGTTACAAATCCTTTAAGTTAAATATAGACTGTGGGAACAATTCCTGAGTCGAAGATTGACAATGATATGACCCACTCCAACAAACAAAATCAAATACTCACTCGAAGGGCAATGTTACCGTTAGTCTAACGTTAACCTTTGGTGAAGCGGCAACCAAAGATGTTACCGTTTATTGAACACAGCAGTGCATGAGCAGCCTGTATCAAAATGGCAATAAAAACAACTGAAAATAATATACTGGCCTTAAACCCAACCAAAACAAATAAGCATATTCATTTTTAAAGTGTCCAAAACAGTTATGCATATTATTTATTCATTATCAATTGAACGCTTATTCAGACATATTTACCTGTTAAGCTGATGAAAAAATATGCAATTTTGCCTAACGGTGCCTCTGGTCGTTATCTGACAAGAACAGGTGGGTAACCAGGGGGTGGAGCTGAGCTCGGTGAACGTAAACTTGTAACTTTTAAAAGCTAACTTCTCTAGTTCGCTTTAGAGGTTTAACTCGCTATTATTATTAATTTGGTATGGTTTCAATCGTGCTATATTTAAATGAAATCTTTGTAGTTCCACTGTGACGTAAAAACAACCGTTGGCCATAATAAAGAAGGTAACAATACGACGGAACTGTCACGAGTTTGGGTTGTTTCTTGTCGACTACTTATATGAAGGCACACATTTCTCCGGGGTGCATTCAAGAAAGACATTTTGTAATCATTTAAAAGGCTGTGACTACAATTAACACGTAAGACAATGCTGTTACATGTAGGATTTTTAAGATACAAATACTGTCCTGTGTTGATTGAATGTGATACATTTAAACTAAAAGTTAAATAGGGTTTGTTGTGTTTTTTAAAGTTGTTACGCCTTTATAAACCATAGAGAGAATCGAACAGTATAACATACTAAAAAATATTACTTTCTAAAATGTAAGATATGTAATAATTTTAAGGGAAATCACGCAATAACATATACATCTTAGCTAAGAGACAAATATCAACTATTATTGTCTTTTTGCAACCTTTCTGTGTGTGCTCTTGAATGCCTCTTGTTTGTTTTTGCGAGCCAGCCCACAGTCCATAGGGCAGTGATGGCTAGCTGACTTCTCATTATTTAAGGTTTGGGCTTTGACATGGCTGGGACAGTGCTAATCCGATGTATGAGCAGGACTTTACTATCTGCAGCTCATGGGGCAAAAGGGTTCAGAACCAGAGGGACAACCCGTTTCTACTGGACAACTTTTAGAAGGACTGCCATTGCTCTGACTGTAATTAACTTTGCCTTTTAATATACTAATGAGACCGTATCATTAAATATGCATGAAGCTGCTAGAATCGCTCACTTTCAGATGCCTTTATACACGAATTTATGGTTTGGAAGACCATAGTTGCATTGTTAAAGGGATTGTTTCTATGCTTGTTTGTTATGTGGGTTAAAGGGCAGTAGGGCTTTACAGTGGGAGAGCTTCTTATCCATACTGCAGCTTTGTATTAGGATATGTCATCGCTGTTAATGTGCAACAGGTTGGGTTAGATGAAAAGGAAGGCTGTGAAATTAAAACCTATGTAATTCAATTTTTAAGCAGTAATTCAAACTCTACAACGAATGTGGATAAGTGTTTAGCTGCTCTGAAAGTGTCAGGTTACCTTAGGTCAGCTGATACTGAGCATTGTAAACATTAGCCATTGGGCAGATATCACCTTGAACCCCTATGGTTAATTTGTATGCCTTTTTTGTTAATATCTTTCCTGTTTACAGAGTGGAAGAGCTGCATTCCTAGTGGGGCTTCCTACACTATCCTGTCTGGGATATGAGGCTTATCACAGAGTGCTGAGTTCAGCAGTGGTCCACGCTTTAGAAAAAGGTAGTTGGTGTACTGTGAAAGGTGTGAGATATCATTGAAATACAGATTTAGTAATGGATTCCTGAATTCTCTGTTGTGTTTTGTGTGCAGAGGAGGTTTTGGAGCAGGCTGACTACCTGTACAGCTGTGCAGAGACAGAGAAGCTGTACCAGCTGCTGCTGCAGTACAAGGACAGGTAGGCGAGGCCCCACTAAATGTTATTTTTATTATAGATTATCCTGAAGATTATTTTCTGTATTGCCTGTAAAACGTCAGAAACTGGTAAAAAAAAAATCCATGCTCTTTCTAAGTGATGTTTTTTAAATGTCATCAGGTCAATCAAAAATACCCAAAGATATTCACTTTATAGTATAAAGTCGATATCTCACTTTTATATTTTCTCTATTTCTCCCTTTGTTCTTGGCAGAAGTTATTGGAATGCCCCCCTAACTTCACTAAAGTTAAACATTTGTGCACATTATGAGTTTACCTTTTGAATTTGCATCATTGCCTCGCCCTTATTCCACCTACTTAGCACTTTTTACTTTTGCTGTTATTTTTATTTTTCTTCTTTACTTGCTTGTAAAGCGCTTTGAGCACCAGGAAAAGCGTTATATAAATGTAATGTATTATTATTATTATTATTATTATTATTGCAGCGATGAAGCAGAGTGCCTGTGGAGGCTTGCCCGGGCGTCCCGGGACATGGCGCTCCTGCCCGACATGGAGGACAAACAGAAGAAGGAGCTGATGTTTGAAGGCTTCGAATATGTGAAGAAGGCACTCGAGAAGGATGAGAAGTGTTCAGCCGCACACAAAGTAAGACGCTGGTTCTACTGAGAAAACGCTACTGATTCGGAGAAAAATACGTTTGTTCCCACACATATCATGTCACACATGACAAAAAACTAACATGCAGGAGGTTGCCATTATGATAAAGGATCAATGGGGGATTTTTTAACCAAACCATCCTCCTTTTCTCACACAGTGGTACGCAATATGTCTCAGTGATGTTGGGGATTACTTGGGAGTCAAGGTGAAAATTGGAAATGCTTACATCATCAGGGATCATCTAGAGGTGAGAGCACATTTGGGTTGTTATACATTATCATAGTCATATTTACTGTATTCTGGAGTGAAACAGGTTCGTCTTTTTTTTCTAGAAAGCCATTGAGCTCAATCCCAAAGATGCCACTTCCTTGCATATTTTGGGTTACTGGTGAGTCGTTTTTTTAATTGTATTTTGTATTATTTGTTACATAAAATATGGCAAGTTTACATTTGCACTTATTGCCTTTTCATTCTGCTGTTCTCTGCTACTTGCCAAGAAAAAGATAAGTTGTTGGTATCAGAGGACAGTAGAGGGTAGTATCCCAAAGAATGCCAAGATGACATAAACTGTGTTTGCATAAGACTTAAAGATGCAAATCTATACCGTATACTTTTTGGGAGGAGAAACATTTTTTTTAAGTCACAAAGGCTGTATTATTCAGTGAAATCTGTATGTTTTCTGTCTAATAGGTGCTTTGCTTTTGCCGAGCTGCCTTGGTATCAACGCAAGGTGGCAGCTGTCATTTTTTCATCCCCACCTGTGTCCACATATGAAGAAGTGAGTACTGCTCTAGTTATACCGCTCTTCATCTGTATTGTGACTAACTGCGCAAGTGACAAGGTACATGTCATGTTTTTCTGCTCCTTTCAGGCTTTGCAATTCTTCCTGAAAGCAGAAGAAGGTAAAACAAGGGACATGAATAAAGTCACTGAAGCATTTAATGAAAAACTGAAGCTGTAAATTAACATTTTTGTGTGTTTTTATCTTTTCAGTTGATCCAAACTTCTACAGTAAAAACCTGCTAATGCTCGGGAAGACGTACTTGAGCATGAAGGAGAAAGAGAAAGGGCTTCTCTTTCTAACCAGAGCTAAAGAGTACCCTGCTCACACACTGGAAGACAAAGAGGTACACACACTTAGGACTAGCTTTGCATTGACTGTCTTTTAATAACTAATCGACCAAAATGTTATATAAACTCAGATTATTCTCCAGGCAGAAACTGTGTGTGCTTATGTGAACATACTCAGATCAGTGTATTTGTTCTTTTGCAGGTGCATAAAGAGGCGGTAGAGCTCTTGAAGAAACTAGTATGAAGCCGGTATTACCTTCGAGTGGAATGATGCCTTTGGGGACTTTTGGACTGTTAATTATTGCTAGCTGCTTTTTCTTATTCAGATTTTGTGATTATTAATACAGCTTTTGGCCTTACCATTTAGACTTTGGTTAAATCTGAATTTCAACATTGTCTCTGTATTTTTTCGTGCCTGAATTCCTTGAATGAAACTTGCTTCTTAGTGAGCACATGCTATTTGCCAGTGTTATACATATAGAGTGCAGGTTTACTTCGGTGGTGGTAACACACTTCAAAATAAATTAAAACACTGAATAATCTGGCTTGTCTTCATTTTTTTATTTAAGTAAATAGTTGGAACAATAAATTATATCAGAATTACTGGTCTTAACGTTTTTATGTCTCTGCAAACCACTCAAGATGCATCCACGTCTATCCAAAATGTGATCACTTCATCCTATTAAACATGACATTTTCATAATTAGCAGAAGGAAGATATGACCAAAATCGTTACTTTGGACCACAAAATTCCAAGTGGATGTTTGTGCCATATTTTAAGAAATTCCCTCTTTGTATTCCTGAGATCTTGTTGACAATTGAACAAAAAATATAACCAGCTTTAAAGATAATCAGATACATTATTTATTATGGTTCTTTCGACAGGCAAGATCCAATCAAAGCAAAGGATGATCCAATCAAAGCAAAGGATAAACCAAGAGCACATTGATTTTTCTTTAAGAACAGAAAGAAAGGTTGTGAATCCTGAGCAGAAGGTCTCTCGTCCCCCGATAATCACACATGGAAAAAAGAAAAAGGCATGGTCATGGAGGGGGTTTATTTACTTATTTATTTGTATCTCATAAATCCATCTCTCCATTAAAATGGGTTGAAAGCAGATTAAAAATGAATCTTCTATACACATGGTCTCCAGTAAAGGGGCATTCTGTACAGTGTAGTTGGTGTTTACAGTGTGTATCTACACGCGATATGTTACAGGTTGGATGCGTTTCAGGTGGCCTACGCTGCAGTCAGCACAGAAACAAGATCCCTGCTGCATGATCACATACTGATTGATGTTCAGTAACATGACTCAACGTTTCTCTCCAGGTGAAACTTCCTCTAACTGGCTGCAGTGAAGGCAACCTGAAACGTCCCATCTATTTCTGATAGAAACAAAAGGCATCACAGATTTCCATCAATGGAGCGGCGGCTCTGTGTAAATAATTATAATATTTAAGTACTTTATTTACTTTCATTATCTTTATACAATGAATATTCACATACACAGTTGATTTTCTTTGATTACATGTTTCTGTTCAAATTAAGGAAGCACAAAGTTCTGCAGTTTTGACTTCTCTTAAGTCGGCTCCTTTTGCTACAGTAAATGTTTTCTTCACACTGTCGTCCCTCTTTGCAGCAGGGACAGCTGAACGTGTTTTATACATGACTGATAGCTCCTCCTAGAAGAAAAGTCAGCTTGCTGCTGTTTGCAGTGGCCTGACAACATAACGCCAGAGAAAAGAAGGAAAATGGCATGCCGCTGCCATAGCTGCATTTAGACCACTGACTGAAAGAATGAGCACCAGAGTTTAGAAACAATGGAT